GAGGGTCAGGCATGCTCGGGATGAGGATAAGTCTATCTAGGCAAGGCCGCGGCGCCCGATGCATCCTCCAGGAGCGCCAGCTCTCAGAGGTTCCCGACCCATCCCCATCCGGATTCATCCTCATCTTGGCTTCATCGTGGAGGGAAGGAGGGCCCCCTCAAGGACCTGAAGGCGAGCAGCGTCTGAATACACCACGTGGCATAATTTTTTCCCAGTGCTCGGACTTTGGCGAACGAGTCGACTAAGCGTTTGTACGCGTTCCGAATAGTTCTCCCAGCGCGTGCGAGATGCACACAACCAGGAAGTGCACTACGTGAGCTGCGGAGGAAGAATGGCGAGTGGTGGAGGAAACGTGCAGGTGGGCTGCCCGCGGAGGACGGAAGTGCATTGCTTCCGCAGGCAGCTCAGTAGGGCGACGAAAGTCCACGGAGGAAAAAGCACCCCGACTCCCACAATCAGCGTTTGCTTGACAGCACTGGGCGTTTACTAGACAGCCCTGCCCTCTTCGATCCCTTCCCTGGGTGCGTTCACGAAAGGCTTCGCTCGTCGAGGCGCTTGTCGTGAGGGTGGTTTTCCTGCCCTGGAGAAGGGGCGCTGCCGCGCCGCCCATATCCTCCTCCCCCTGCGCTCGGCTTTCGATGGAAGGGACCACGCGTTGCCTGAAGACGAGGTCAAGCGGCTGGTTTTGTACTCGGCTTCCCTGTCTGCCCGTCACCCGAGCCACTCGACTGAGCGGATTCCATGCTCTTCGCCCGCAGTCCGTCCGACGACGCGCGCCCGACGCTGCCGCGAAGGCGCGCGGCACTCCTGCCACGACCCACCAAAACGGAGCTTCCGGCAGGAGTCCGAGCCCCGTCCCGCCATTTTCCGCGGCCTGCATCGAGCGCCTCGCGCCGAGCGGCGACAGCTCTCCGCTGGTGCCCTTCCGCGGAGCGCCGGTCCGAAGTTCTGCCTCCGGATGGATCCCCGGAGGTCCCTGAGATCCCGGAAGGCTCCGAGACCTCCAGAGGAGCAGCGCGTGGCAACAGCACGCAGGGAGGACTTCAATCCCAGAGCGCGCGAGCCTCGACTGGTGCTCCCCTCGTGCGAGGCGCGGCATCGTGTCGCTGCTGTGATGGTGGCACCTGCCGTCCCATCTGGTGAGCAGCGACGACGACGACGACGACGACCACGACGACCACGACGACGGCGACGACGACATTGGCGCCGCGCCCAAGGTTCCCGCGTGGGGTCGCGCGCGGAAGCGCTCTCGTCTCCGGTGCGGCGTGCCGCGCCGGCCGCCCGCGCAGGCCGCGGCGCAAGGCCCCCCTCCTTGGCCCGTGGCTCGCCTGTCGTCCTTCTCGGTTGCCGTCGTGAAGGAGGGCAAATCGCACGCACAGACACAACTCATCGTCGATTCCCAGAAGACATGGGGAACTATGGGAAAAGTGTGTGGGGGGGGGAAGACAGGATTCCCAGAAGCTGTGGGAGCCTAGGGGGGAATCTATTCTTTTGCCTGTGTGTATTTCTTGGTGTGCCCCGGGGCCCCTTCCGTCGTGCCCTGCCGCGTCGGGGGGCGCCGTCTCTGCTCCCACGCCGACCCTCGGCGGGCCCCCGGCGCCGGGCCCAGGGTCGGCGTTCGCGCGCCGCGCCCGGCGCCGGGCCCGGGAGCGGCGCGGGCGTGCGGGTGGCGCCCTCGGGGTCTGGGCGCGGGCGTGTCCCACTTGCAGGAGGGAGATTCAAGCACAGTAGGACAAAATCGTCGGGGTGCGATTTTCTCTGCATTTCTTTTTTGACTGTTCTGGGGCATTTCTTTGGATACCTGTGATTCTTCGCCCACGCTCCGCCTGTAGGGGGACGTGCCCGACCTAATCCTCGTCGTGTCCTCCACCCTCTCCGCGTGCTGTCCCCCTTCGGGGGCGGCGGACGCGCCTAAGGGGGTGGCGGGAGGGGGGCGGCCTTCAGGGCGGCGGGGGGCTCCTGAGGAGGCATCCTCAGGAGATCGATGAGGGCCCCTGGGGAGCCCATGCCTTCTCACTCTAAAGCGAGCTGAGGGACGTAAGGAGTGGAAACGAGCGTGCGCCCGCGGCCGCCTTGGCTCAAAGCGGCCGGCCGCCCAGATTTGACTGTGTTACCGCGAGGCACACTATCGTTATTGATACTGAAAGGCATCCCCTTTTACTTGACATGGCATCCCCTCTTGCATTGGGACTATCGTTGCTACGATACAACCGAGCTGGAGCTTGGCTTCGCCTGAGGCGAAGCTGTTGACGGGGCCTCCCAGCCCCCTTCAAACTTTCTCACCGAGCCCCCGCGCCTTCGAGAAACTGTCAGAGGACAGGGAACCTTGCCCCGAATGTCGTAACGACAACAAGGAGGGGGTCACAACCCTCCCAGACGGGCAGCTTAGGACCCCCCCAGGCCAGCCATGAAAGGGCGGCCTTGCTCTCCGGACCCCACTGGAAGCCTCCAGGACAGCGCAAATCACCCCCTCCAAAGCAGACCACAAACCTTTTATTGTGAAATCCAGAGTAACCAGATCCAAAAGGAGGGAGTTCCCCAGGGTCGGTGAGGGAGTTTTCCGTTCGAGGGAAGCCCTGAGCAAGCCTAGATCGCCCCCTCCTCCCTGGTCTGGTTCGGCCCAAGCCACCCAAAAATGAAGCGCCGGAACAGCTGGGGTTTTCTCAATGCCGACGATGCCAATGCATTGCCGACATCGCGGATGCAACGCCGATGCGTCGGCGATGCGGCGCGATCCTCCGAACCCATCTACGCCGGACCCAATTTCATCATAGCAGGTTTGGACGGGGGCGATCCAGGCTCGGGTGCCGACTTCTCCCCGAGGTCGAGGGCGTCCAAGAGGGGGTGGTGACTAGGGTGGGATCGATGTCATGGCTGGAACCATGATAGCTCCCCAGATTTCACGGCCCCGCTTCTTGTCTCGATGCTTTCCTGGACCCCCCCTCCCCTGTTGAATGCCTCACCCATGGACGCCCCAAACGAGAGGGAGAACAAGGACCAACCCCACGTCAGGCCTGACCCTCCACAGAAGGAAGGTTCAAAACTAGTAAAAAAAAGTCTGGGGACGATTCTTTTCAGTTTTCGGGGGCATTTTTTGTTAAACATTGATGTTTGGGGTAGCTCTCATTTCTCGCCCACACTCCGCCTGCAGGGGGACAGGCCCGACCTGAGACCAGCCCGAGCCCGAACCCGAACCCGGGCCCGCGGGTCAGTCCCGCCAGGGCTTCGGGCCGGACGAAAGGGGGGGATTGGGAAAGGGGGGGTTACGAAATTTGCTGCATGCAGCTGGTTTCGGCCTCACCGAGGGGCCCATTTCTCGATGCACAGCTCCATCCGGCGCCGGGAGGCGCCGGGAAGATCAGCTGCGTGAGCTGATTCTCGAACCCCCCCTTTGCTATCCCCCCCTATCGCCCGGCCCGAGGGCTGCCCCCCTCCCCATCCCCCGGTGCGCGCCGCCCATCGAGGGATCGGAGAGGGCTATGGGTGCGTGTTGTCGGATGGGCGTCCCCGCTCGAACGGGAGCGTTCCCCAGGGTCCGACAACCCGCACCCATACCCGTAGCCAGTCCTCCTCCCAACGACCCCCCTGTGGGTATGGGTGTGTGTTGTTCGTTCGTCACGCCAGGGCTGCCCCCCTCCCCGTCCCCCGGTGCGCGCCGCCCACCCTCCTCGCAGCCGCCCCGGGCCGAACCCGCGCGAGGGCGCCCCGCGGGCAGCACCCCCGGCGGCCGCCCCCTTCGGGCGGGGCAGCGCGGGGCCCGCGGCGCGCCGGCGTCGAGCCGGGCGTGTCCCTCCACGGGAGGAAGGTTCGGAGCATGATCAAAGACTAGTCAGGGGACGTTTTTTGGAGCACTTGTGGGCTATTTTTTGACATTCTGCAGGTTTTTAAGCCGAGTTTCGCGGAAGCTTTCTCTTCATAGTCCAGGCACTTCTTCGCGTTTTCAGAGCTCCACGAGGGTCCCGGCGGTATCGCTCGAGACATCCTCAACGCATTCTAAAAGATAAGCGTTTCGCCTGAGACATCCTCAACATTTAATCCGCCGGCCCGCTTGGACCTCGATACCTATCAGGGAAAGAATCCGCCGGCCCACCTCAGTTGAGGCGCCGGGGACAGATTACCATCCCAAAAGAGAACCCTGGGCCTGCGCCCTTTCCGGGAAATAGTCAGGGGACGTTTTTCCGAGCATTTTTGCTGGCTATTTTCTTGGACATTCTCTGGGCATTTTTTTTGGTTCCTTCGCCCAGCACCCGCCTGTGGCGGGACCTGCCCGGCCCACGGCCGCCGGGGGCCCGCGGGCGTTTCGGGGCGGCCGGCAGCCGAGGGCGGTGGCGCAGGGGCTCCGTTCCCAGCAGCGGCGGAGCGCCCCGGCATGCCCTGCGGGCCCACCATCGGGCCGGGCGAAAGGGGGGGGGATTGGGCAAGGGGGGGTATTCTTTGGGCATCTTTTTGGCTATTTCTGGGCATTCTCGGGGTCTTTCTTGGTTTCCTCGTCCAGCCCCCGCCTGTGGGGCATGCCCTGCGGGCCTACCAGAGAGTCTTGGCATCGCTCGGACGTGTGCATTTTTCCTTCGGCGAGGACCACCGAGGAGCATCCTCGACCATTTGGCGAAAAAGCCACGCACGACACCGAAAAGAGCACAGGGAATGGACGTCCGAGCGATGGCCAGGTGGCGCAGGGGCTCCATTCCAGCAGCGGCGGAGCGCCCCGGCATGCCTGCGGGCCCACCAGAGAGTGTCGTGAGGGCCTTCTTTCGGGGGTGGACAGACCTCCTACCCTGACACGTCGATTGAGGAATTGGCCGTTTTCGGTTCGCGAGAGGGCGTCGCGGCCATCATTTTTGCGGGTCCAGGTCCGTCGGTTTCGGTCCCAGGCCGTTTTCACTAAGGGGAGGTCTACTAAAGGGAGGTTTGTCCACCGCCGATTCTTGAAAACCAAGATGTTCTTAGAACACCTCCGGCTGGGACTGGCGTGTGTCAACACCTCAGCTCTGCGTTCTAGGAGCTCTGTTCTTGTTGTCAGGGCATGTTTTGGTTCTAAGAACAAGTCGTGGTAGGCCTATATGAATGCCAGGACGGTCGGTCCTTGCTCAAGAAGGGCCTCCGTGAGATCGGGATGTTGCAGTTTCAACGCACCGGGCGTTCTCGCCTGGTGCCAGGTCGACTACACGTAAGAGTGACCTTTCGCCAGAGTGACCTTTGGTGTGGGCCTTTTGGGGTCCCCCGATCGCCGGATGCGATGTGATAGTTGCGTCTTGCGCGATTGTGATCGGTCCCCCCACGGCCCCCAAAAAGCCTCGCACCAAAGGTCACTCTAACCCAGGGTCGCTGTTGCGTGTAGGCGAACGGGTCCGGCTCGAAAGATGCTGCAGAACGATAGAGTTTGGGGCTTCAGTCGTGATTTATAGGGTCACCCCCCTTTGACCGCGTCTTGCGGCGGGGGGGGCGCCTCGGGACACAGCGGGGGGATACCCGAGGAGAAGAGAGAGAGAGAGAGAGAGACAAAGAGTGGAGACTCGAGCGGAAACCAGGAGAACCAACCATCGAAGAAGAAACAACGACATAAACATAAACTTTTGGCGTTCCGCGCGGATTTCTTGGATCCGCACTGGGTCCCCCCTGCGGCGCCTCTGGCGCCGCCCCGGGCGCGCTCCGCGCGCCAGGGATGGGTGGTTCAGCGCAGATCCAAGAAATCTACGCGGAGTGCCAATAGTTCATGTTTAGGCAATTTTTCTTCCTCTAAACCTCCTCGCTCCTCGCTCTGCGCTCCTCTGGAACGCCTCCCGGGCACCCCCCTTGACCACGTCTTGTGTACGGGGAGGCGCCTGGGGACACTGCGGCTTCAACCTTGAACGCCCCTGGGGACCCCCCCTTGACCGCGTCTCGCAGCCAGAGGCGCCTCGGGACACACTGTCGGGAGCCTTGAGACGGGGTCAATGCAAACGGGGTCAGTCAGAGCTCCCGACCTTGCAGGATCCTGCAGGGCCAGGGTCGCATTGACCCGGGTTTTTGTGCAGGATCCTGCAGGATCTTGCAGGATCCTTCGCACTGACCCGGGTTTGGGTGCAGGATTTTGCAGGATACTGCAGGATTTTGCAGGATTCGGCAAGGCCTGACTGGCCCGGGTGTGGATTGACCGGGGTCAGAAGATCCCGACCTGGCAGGAGGCGAAACGTCGTGGGCGACGGGGAGGGCAACGAATGGCCTGCCCCACTTACGGGCGACGGGCCGTGAAGAATGGCCCGCCGCCCAGAGCCAAAACCCTCGGTCCTCGTCCCCCCAGGCTAGCGCGACGCCGAGCGCCCGCCAAGCCGCTGCAGGGTGGCGTGCTGTCCGCTCGCGGCTCGTACTGCCACCGTTCTTGGGTTGTGCGTCAGTGGCTTCTTGGATACGTGTTGGAGTCTCCTGGCATGATCCTCGGGCGCTCCTTGGAGCCAGTTTTGAAGCCTCTTGGGACCTCTTGGGGGCTGTTTGGGGGCCTCTTGGGTCCTCTTTCCGGCCTTTTGGGGGCCTCTTGGGGACCTGCTGGCGGACTGGCAGGTCCACATGGGGCGGAGGGCTTGACATGTGAGCTGGAGTTCCCGCTCTTGGGCCCCTCTTAGGGTCATCTTTGGGCCGTCTTAGGCGCCTCTTCGACGGTCTCGGCGCTCTCTTGGGCCGTCTTTGGCCTCTCCTGGGGGCCTTTTGGGCCGTCTTTCGGTCATCTTCGTGGCGTCTTGGGCCGTCCTGGGCGCTGTGATGGCATAAAAAGCGAATGTGCTGAACATATACTTGTCCCAAAGGGAAGGGGACAAGTTTGACCATCCGGGGCCCTCTTGGGGACCATCTTGGAGCCTTCTCGGGTCGTCTTGGAGGCCTCTTGGAAGCACTTCGGCCATTTTGAGGCCATCTCGGAGCATCTTGGGACCTTTTGCGCCGCTCTCGTCGCTTCTTTGTGCCCCCTGGAGGTTGCTTTGGGCGGCCAGCGTGGCTGGGAGAAGGCCCAGGAGGCTCCGGAGGCCGATCCGCGGTGTTCCCCCACCTACCCTGAAGTCGGGCGTGTCCCTCTACAGGAGGAATATTCAAAAATCGAAAACAATAGTCAGGGGACGAGCGGTTTTTTATTTTTATCTTACAAAATCGGCCTGTAGGGGGACGTGCCCGACTTAACCCTACCCCTCTCCCCAGAGGGCCCGGCCCTCACCAGCCCCGTGCTCCTCTGGATGCCCTCTGGCGGCGTCTGCAGGCCGCGCTCGCGGCCCCTGGCTTACTGTGGCCTCGGCCCGATTCTGCGGAGGGCACGCCAGGATCTGCACGAACGAAATGGGTACGGAAAGAATGGGTACAATGCCCAACAGCAGTTCCTGTTCATTTAAAACAGGACTCGCTGTCCGCGCCGCCGCGGCCTGTGTCCATTTGAGACAGAAGGCCGCCTGCCCAACAGCGGCCGCTGTTGGTTAGGGACAACATTTGTTATCGGGCTTTGTACCCATTTTTTCGTTCTTCCAAACAGGAGCAGGGCAGGTCGGATGAGGATGAGGAGCGCGTGTTCGCGGAGGAGACGACTCCGGCCTCCGCGTTCCTGCAAGGTCGCGTGCCTCTTAGAAGGCGCGGGCCTTCGCTGTGGATGCAAGGCTGGCGCCTTCTAAGAGGCAGCCTCCTTCTGAGAAGCTGTCCCCCCCTCCCTTCACCCTCGTGTGCGCGCCGCCAACCAGCCCCGTGCTTCTGGATGCCCTGACGGCGTCTGCCGGCCGCGCTCGCGGCGCCCATGGCTTACTGTGGCCTCGGCCCGATTCTGCGGAAGGCACGCCAGGAGCAGGACAAGTCGGATGACGATGAGGAGCGCGTGTTCGCGGAGGAGGCCCTCAGGTTGACCCAAAAGGGGGTCCAGCGACAAGGGGGTGGTGCAACAGATTTGGTGCAGTAGATTGGTGGGCTGGGGCGTGCAATACATTCCGGGGCGCAGATGTATTGCTGGATCTTCGCGTGCAATACATTCGTCGCAAGACAATGCAATCCAGTTCTTTGGCGCAACATATTGGCAACACAATTGCCCCAAATCTACTGCACCACCCCCTTTCAGCTGGACACCCTCTTGGGTCGACCAAAGAGGCGACTCTGGCCTCCGCGTTCAGAAGGGCGCCGCCTTCAAGGTCGTCCAGGTCACCAGCGGTGCCAGAGCTGATCGAGGCCCCCAGAGAGGCCGGCGAGAGCTTGCCGCTTGCAGCTCCGGGTAAACAAAGGCTCTCCAAGGCCGAGCGCAAGAAGGCGAAGAGGTCTTGGGGACCCAAGTTATCCGGGATAGACCTGGTCTGGGTAGCGCCCCGTTCGGGGTCCCCAGGTGTGATCCAGGAAGGCCCCAGAACCACTCGATCCAGGAAAACTCCTGATTTGCGCGCGCATTGGACGATATCTACATTGGCGGGCAGACTGATCCCAGAAATCTCGGGATGAGTGCAATCTGGGATAATTCCGGCGCTGAAGCGGGAGGCCCGAATCAGGAGTTATTCAATTGGCTTACGCCATTCCGCCGACCCCCACAATGAGTGAGTGTGTTAGACGATCGTGGAAGTTATATCTTAGGTCAGGAGCCTCTTGGATGAATCTGAGGGGCTCTTGGGATGCCTCTCTGGGGCCTCTTGGAGAACTCTTGGGGGCGTGTGGGATGCTTTTTGGGGCCTCTTGGGGGCCTCTTAGGGGCTGCTTGGGGGCGTCTTAGAGGCCTCTTGGGTTTCCTTGTTGGGCCGTCGGGGGCCTCTGGGGGGCTCCAGGGGCCATCTTGGTGGGAAAGGCTTGAAATGTCAGTTTGTATTCCCCCTCTTGGGCTTTCTTGGAGCCCTCTTGGAGCCCTCTTGTGGCCCTCCAGGGGCTGTCTTGGACCGTCTTGGGGGGCCCCTGGATTTGTCTTTGGGCCCTCTTGGGCCATCTTGGGGCCTTCTTGGTTGCATCATGGGCCGTCTTGTGACGATCTTGGGGGCCACTTGGGCCATCGTGTTCGCTGTCAAAACATACAATGCGAATGTGCTGGGAATGAAAGTTTTTCCACACATCGAATGGGGATGATTTTGGCCTCTTAGGCCCTCTCGGCGATCCTCTTGAGGCGCTTTTGGTTTGTCTTGGGAGCCTCGTGGGCCATCTTGAAGCCGTCTTGGATCGTCGTTGGGCTAACTACCCTGGGCCGTCATGACGCTCTCTTCGACTGTCTTGGCGCTCTGTCTGGGCCCTGGCGGGCTGTCTTGGGGCTTCTTGGGGGCTCCGGAGGCCCCGGGAGTGCGTTGACGAGCCCCCTCCCTCCCTAGGGATGGCATTTCGGACCCCAGGTGAGGGGGAATGCAGTCGGGGCGCTGCAGAAGGAACCCCTTTCGTTTGGGAGGGGCTCCGTGTTCCTCAGTTGTTTTACGGGGCTCCTTGGGTGTTTCTGAGAGGTTTTCCGTGGAAGACTGGAGTTTAACTTATGGGAAAATGGGGCCTCGTTCCTTCTTTAGGGATCGGGGGTGGACAGAACCCCCAACAGTGACACGTCGATTAGTGAATTGTTCGTTGTCGATTAGTGAATTGTCCTCCTCCTCCTCCTCCTCCTGTTCTTTATTTAGGGTTCTTTGGGTCAACGCCCCAACTGTAAGGGGCACGGGGACAGCACACTGCCTCGCGCGCCCGGTCGCTCTCCTGGCAGGCAGGGGTCGGCGGCTGCCTCGCCGCCCTGGTCCCGACAGCGATCGACGACGATCGACATTGTCGATCGTTGATCGTTGATCGTTGATCGTTGAACGATCAACGATCGAGCGACTTGATCGTTGACGACTTATCGTTGATCGTTGAACGGTCAACGATATGCGATACCGATCGCAACGACAACGATAACGCTCAACGACCACGACGATACCGGTCCGCGCTCGACGGCACCGATCAAAACGATCAAGGATCGCAGCGATCAACGGCCAACGATCACAGCCACAACTCCTGGCTCCGCAGGTCGGCCCACGGCGGCGCGGCCCGGCCCGCGGCGGCCGCCGCGCCCGCGGCGGCCCCCGCGCGCGGCGGCGCGGCCCGCGCCGGCACGGCCGAGCCAGCGAAGGCCGCCGCGCCGCAGCGCCGCGGGCGCGGGGAGGCCCCGGCGGCGGCGGCCGCGGGGCCCGCCACGGAGGAGGGCCCCGAGTGCGGGCGACGACGACGACGACGGCGGCGACGGGCGGCGACGACGAAGGCGACGGGCGACGACGACGTTGACGACAGCGGTAACGGCGCCGCCGCCGGCGGCGACGACGAAGGCGACGGCGGCGACGACGACGACGACGACGGCGAAGCCGACGACGGCGACGACGACGACGACGGGCGACGACGACGACAACGATGGCGACGACGATGACGACGACGGTGGCGACGACGACGACGGTGGCGACGACGACACAGTCAAAAACCCTAATAAGGACGCGCGACTTTGCTCAGGGTACCCTTGCGTCCTTCCTCTTCCTTGCTCTTGCGTCCTTGGGGTTTTCGTCGTCCGCCGCCCCATAAATCCCAACTTCGGCTTCCGAGGGTCTTGCATCATTACCGCGCGTCCTTATTAGGGTTTTTGATTGTAACCGCGACGACGACGACGACGGCGACGACGGGCGGCGACGGCGACGGGCGGCAACGACGACGACGACGACGACAGCGGCGACGATGCCGACGCCAGTGACGACGACGACGACGGCGACGACGACGAGGGCGACGACGACGACGACGACGAGGGCGACGACGACGACGACGGCGGCGACGGCGGCGACGGCGACGACGGCGACGACGACGGGCGACGACGACGGGCGACGACGGGCGACGACGACTACGACGACGGCGACGACGACGACGGCGACGACGACGGCGACGACGACTGCGACGGGGACGACGGTGACGACGACGACGACGACGGCGACGACGACGACGGGCGGCGACGACGACGGCGACAGTTGCGATGGCGACGACGGCGGCGACGACGCCGACGCCGGCGACGACGACAACGACGACGGCGGTGGCGACGACGAAGACGACGGCGGTGACGACGGCGAGAACGACGACGACGAGACGACGACGGCGACGACGACGACGACGACGACGAAGGCGACGGCAACGACGACGGCGACGGCGACGACGACGACGACGGTGATGGCGATGGCGACGACGATGACGACGACGGCAACGACGACGACGACGGGCGACGACGACGGGCGACGACGGCGAGACGATGACGGCGGCGACGGCGACGAGGACGATGACGACGACGACGTCGACGACGACGACGGCGACCACGGCGACGACGACGACGTCGACGACGACGACGACGACGAGACGACGACGACGGCGACGACGACGACGGGGACGACGACGGGGGCGGCAACGACGACGACGACGACGACGAGACGACGATGGCGACGAAACCGACGACGCCGACATCGGCGACGCCGATCACGCACGACGACAACGACGGTGGCGATGACGATGCCGACGACGACGACGACGACGGCGGCGACGACGACGACGACGACGAGACGATGGTGGCGACGACGACGACGACGGGCGGCGACAACGACGACGGCGGCGACGGCGACGACGACGTCGGGCGACGACGACGACGGCGAGACAATGACGGTGGCGACGACGACGACGACGACGGACAACGACGGCGACGACGACTGCGACGGTGGCGACGACGACGGCGAAGACGACGACGACGAGACGACGACGGCGACGACGAGGACGACGACGGCGACGACGACGGCGGCGACAACGACGACGACGACGGCGATATCGACGGCGACGACCACGACGACGACGGCGGCGACGCCGACGACGACGACGGCTGTGACAACGTCGACGACGACGGGCGACGACGACGACGGCGACGACGACCATGGCGGCGACGACGACGACGAGGGTGGCAACGACGACGACGACGGGCGGCGACGACGATGACGACGACGACGGCGACGACGATGACGACGACTGCGGCGACGGCGACGACGACGACGGCGACGGCGGCGACGAGGACGACGACGGCGGCGAAGACGACGACGGCGACGGCGGCGACGAGGACGACGACGGGTGAACACGACAACGACGACGACGATGATGACGACGACAACGACGACGGCGACAACGACGACGACGACGGCGGCGACGATGACGACGACGACGACGGGACGACGACTGCGACGACGACGACGACGGCGAGGGCGGCGACGACGACGGCGACGACGACGGCGACCACGGCGACGACGGTGACGACGACGACGGCGACGGCGGCGACAACGACGACGACATACAACGACGACGACGACCGGCGACGACGACGACGACGACGGCGACGACGAAGACGACGATGACGACGGCGGCGACGGCGACGACGACGGCGACGACGACGACGACGGCGGCGACGACGCCGACGCCGACGACGACGGCGACGACGTCGACGACGACGACGGCGACGACGGCGGCGATATCGACGACGACGACGACGGCGACGACGACTTAGACGACGTCGACGGCGACGACGACGACGGACAAAGACGACGTTGACGATGGCGGCGACGACGACGACGACGGGCGGCGACGACGACAACGACACCGACGACGACGGCCACGACGACGACGACGACGACGGCGAAGACGACGACGACGTGGACGGCGGCGACGTCGGCGGCGACGACGACGACGACGACGACGATGACGACGACGACGACGGGACGACGACGGCGACGCCGACGACGACGACGGCGGTGGCGACGACGAAGACGACGGCGGTGACGACGATGACGATGACGACGACGACGGGACGACGACGGCGACGACGGCGACGACGAGACGACGACGGCGACGACGACGATGACGACGGTGGCGACGACGACGACGACGACGACGGCGACGACGGCGGCGACGACGACGATGGCGACGAAGACGTCGACGACGACCACGACGACGGCGACGAAGACGAGGGCGACGACGACGACGACGACGTTGATACCACGAAGACGACGACGACGGCGACGATGACGGCGACGACGACGGCGGAGGCGACGACGACGACGACGACGACGACGACGACGGCGACGACGACGACGGCGACGGCGGTGACGGCGTCGGTGACGACGACGACGGCTGCGATGACGACGGAGGCGGCGGCGACGACGACGAAGACGACGACGACGGCGTCGACGATGGCAAAGACGAGGCGACGACGGCCACGACGACGGACGACGACGACGACGGCGACGGCGACGACGACGACGGCGATTACGACACGACGGCGGCGACGTCGACGTCGACGGCGACGATGGCGGCGACGACGACGACGGCCGCGACGACGACGACAAGACGGCGACGACGACGACGACGAAAGCGACGGAGGCGAGGAGGACGACGGCGGCGACGACGACGACGATCACGGTGGCTGCGACGACGACGACGTCGACGACGACCACGACGGCGACGACGGTGGCGGCGACGTCGACGACGACGACAAGACGATGACGGCGACGTCGGCGATGACGACCACGACGACGACGATGACGACGACGACGACGGGACGACGACGGCGACGACGATGACGACGATGACGAGACGACGAGGGCGACGACGACGGACAACGACGACGACGACGTCGACGACGACGACGGCGACGACGACGACGACGGCGGTGGCGACGACGGCGACGACGACGACGACGACGGCGACGACGACGGCGACGACGACGGCGACGACGACGACGACAACGACGGTGACGACGACGACGACGACGACGGCGACGGCGGCGACGAAGACGATGGCGACGACGACCACGACGGCGACGACGGTGACGACGACGGCGGCGACGGCGGCGACGACGACGACGACGGACAACGACGACGACGACGACGGCGACGACGACGACGACGACGACGACGACGACGACGACGACGACGACGGCGACAGGCGACGACGACGACGACGACGGACGACGACGGCGACGAGGACGACGACGACGGCGGCGACGACGCCGACGCCGACGACGACGGTGACGACGACGACGACGACGGCGGCGACGACGGCGGCGACGACGACGACGATGACGACGGCGACGACGACGATGACAACGACAACGGAAACGACGACGACGGACAAAGACGACGACGACGATGGCGACGACGACGACGACGACGGGCGACGACGACGACAGCGACGTCGACGTCGACGGCGACGACGACGACGACGACGGCGAAGACGACGACGACGACGTGGACGGCGGCGACGTCTGCGGCGACGGCGACGACGACGAGACGACGACGACAACGACGACGGCGACGACGACGACGGCGACGGCGACGCCGACGACGACGACGACGGCGGTGGCGACGACTTAGACGACGACGGCGGTGACGAGGACGACAATGACGACGCCGACGGGACGACGACGGCGATGACGGCGACGACGAGACGACGACTGCGACGACGACGACGACGACGACGACGACGACGGTAGCGACGACGACGACGACGACGACGGCGACGACGGCGGCGACGACGACGACGAAGACGTCGACTACGATGACGACGGCGACGACGACGACGGCGACGACGACGACGTTGATTCCACGACGGCGACGACGACAACAAGGAAGACGACGACAACGACAACGACGACTTCGGCGACAACGACGGCGGTGGCGGCGACGGCGACGACGACGACGGCGGCGACGACGACGACGGCGGCGACGACGACGAGGGCGGCGACGACGACGACGGCGGTGACGGCGACGGCGACGACGACGACGACGACGACGGCTGCGATGACGACGGAGGCGGCGGCGACGACGAAGACGTCGACGGCGTCGACGATGACGAAGACGAGACGACGACGGCGACGACGACGGCGACGACGACGACGGCGACGGCGACGACGACGACGGCGATTACGACACGACGGCGGCGACGTCGACGTCGACGGCGACGACGGCGGCGACGACGACGACGGCCGCGACGACGACGACGACAAGACGGCGACGACGACGA